TGAATGAAACCACTTAAATACGTGCATTTGTGAATGTTTTGGCATCTTTAGGTCAAAAACAAGCCACTCATGGACCTGTTGAGGGGTAAAGTGCGTCTCGCTCAGCCATATGCTGGTGTTTTCTTGAAGAAGGATGACAAGTAAGTGATTATGCAAGAGTTGAACACCAAGATAATTAGTTTGACAGACTGTATTGCGGTTCAGGTTGATTCTGGTGTGTGTGTTTGTCAGTAACGAGTCGGATGTGGTGGAGAGTCTGGATGCGGTTTATCACACCGGGACGTTTGTGCAGATCCACGAGATGCAGGACCTCGGAGACAAACTTCGGATGATTGTGATGGGACACAGAAGGTGATGCTCAAAATCTGTCACGTTACCTTTAAAGAAGGGAGTCACTGTTTTTATTAGTTAAATTAACTCATTAGCTATATTATTTTATTGAATGACCCCCTGAGGAAGCTGAGACCTTTCAATAGATAATAATTGAAAGCAGTGGCGAAACTCAGCACTTGGTTGCTAGGGTGTTTTGAGTGGTTGCTAGGGTGTTGCTAAGGTGTTCTGGGTGGTTGCTAGGGTGTTATGAGTTGTTGCTAGGGTGTTCTGGGTGGTTTGGGTGTTGCTAGGTGGTTGCTAGGGTGTTTGGGGTGGTTGCTATGGTGTTGCTAGCTGTTTGCTAGGATATCCTGGGTGGTTGCTTGGCAGTTGCTATGGTAACCTGGGTGGTTGCTAGGGAGTTCTTGGTGGTTGCTAGGGTATTCTGGGCGGTTACCAGGATGTTCTGGGTGGTTACTAGCGTGTTGCTAGGTGGTTGGTGGTTGTCACAGATCGTTACTATGGAGTTTTATAGAGTTCTTAGCATGTTCTTAGCCTGATTTATCATTTAGCTAACTAATCACTATTAACATGTAGCTATTCACTGCTAGCATGTGTAGCATGCATGATGGAAGCCCTGTTTGCTAGTATGTGTCAAAATAGCAAAACACCCATGTTTCTATGACACTTCTATCCAAAGATATCCCCTTTGATCGGTTTAAATGGAAGTCTATGGGGTGGTTGCTAGGGTGCTGTAAGTGGTTGCTAGGGTGTGGCTTTGAAGATTATAGGTCATTATTTATTGGTTACTTGAAAAGATAAGTCATGAGTGTGAGATTCAAATTCACGAACATTCCGTCAATGTAAGTCTATGGGATTTTTTTTGCCCACTTTTTCGTCCGCTGTGCAAACATCGTAGGTCCGATGTTAGCATTATTTTACACATTCCTAGAATGTTTATCACATGATGTAGCATGTTGCTAGCATGCTGATAGTATGGTTTAGAATGTTGCGAACATGATTTAGCAAACGGTTAGCATATTGTTAACATGTTTTAAAACATAGCTAACATATTTTAGAACATTTTTAGCATGATTTAACATATTGCTAGCATATCACATTGTTGGCATGTTTTAGGATGTTAGCATGATTTAACATTTCTAGTGTGTTTATCACATTTTAACACGCTGCTAGCTCATTGCAAACATGTTTTAAAACATAGCTAGCATGTTTTAGCTTGTTAGCATGATTTAACATTGCTAGCATGTTTATCACGTTTTAACATGCTGCTAGCATGTTGCTAACATGTTTTAAAACATAACTAACATGTATTAATAGTTGTTTTAGCATGTTAGCATGATCTAATACATTTCTAGCATGTTTATCACGTTTTAGCATGCTGCTAGCATGTTGTTAACATGTTTTAAAACAAAGCTGACATGTATTAATAGTTATGTTTTAGCATGTTAGCATGATCTCACACATTGCTAGCATGTTTATCACATGTTTTAGCATGCTGCTAGCATGTTGCTAACATGTTTTAACACACTGCTATGTTTTAGCATGCAAGCATGATCTAACACATTGCTTGCATGTTTATCACATGATTTAGCACATTGCTAGCATGTTTTACCATGTTGTTAGCATGTCGTAGATTAGTTACTAGGCTTTGTTAGTGATAATAAGGTGAAATAGAATAACAGTATGTTGGCTGTCATAATTACGTAATAAATAAATAATAACTAAATTAAATAATATATAACAATAAACAATTTACACATTTATTTTGGGGAAAAATAAATGTTAATATATTTATTATTTTTATTTAATTTAACATGAATGGAAATTATATTTTTATATTTATTTAATTTACATTGTCATTTTTATAACAACTGCAGTTCCATCATGAACCTCTAGAGGGAAATTAAAAATGTAGTAATTTAAGTTAAATTAATAAATATATATATATATATATATATATATATAATTTTTATTTATTTTTTATTTATTTTTTATTTTTTGTAAATGTATGATATGTCACTAATTGAGAAGACGGCGTATTTCAGGAAAGTTCTCTGTCCTTTTTGTCCATTGTTTCCCAGAATCCGCATCAATAAGCAGCTGGACGTGGAGCCGGAGGAGCCGGAGTCGCTGGAGGTGGAAGGCGAGCAGCCGAAAGCTCTGCGGCGGAAGCAGAAACGATCGCGTCCTCATGGTGGAGGTGGACAACGTGGTCCATGAGGAGTTCCAGGTCACAGAAGAGGTCAAGGTCAGTGTCCGCTTAGTATCGTTATAGCTTTCATTAGTATATTTTATTATTATATTTTCTGTTTTCATTTCATTTGAAAGTTTTCATGGTTTTGTAGTGTGTTTTTGTCATTCTTATTAGGTTTTTAAATATGTCTATAGTTTTAATAGTTTTTATTTCGGTTTTAGTGTTAGTTATTTAGTACTTAACTATAAATGAAAATAAGAAGTGTTGCCTTTAGCAGCTACCTTAAGTTTAATTATATATATATATATATATATATATATATATATGTATACTTTTTTATTTTTATTTTTATTTAATTTCAGTCAAAAAAAAATTTTCTTTTAAATATAACTTTAAAATATAATTTTTAATTTCAGTTTTAGTTATTTTTGTGCTTCAAACTTTTACAAAAATGAGAAATTTAGCAAGTAGCTGAAGTTTAATTTTGAACTTTTGAAAGTTTAACTTTATTTCAGTTTTTCAGTGAACATTTATATTATTTTAAAATATGTCTATTGAAATGTTGCCTTTTACAAATTTATAGTTTTTAACATTTAATTTTTATTTCGGTCAACATTTTTATTTTAAAATGTCCATATAGCTTTTATTTTTTGTATTTCATTTTTTTTATTTTTCACATTTGTCTTTATTTTTTACTTTTACTTGAGTTATTTTAGTGCTTCAGCTTATACGAAACAAAAATAAAAAATGTTGCCTTTATCAACTAGCTGTTTAAGTTTTTATATATTTTACTTTATTTCAGTCAAAATTTTAAAATGGGTATAGTTTTTTCTGTTTAATTTTAACTATTATTTAAAATGTATACTAAATGGCCAATGCTTATTTTATTTTAAAATGTCAATATAGGATTTTAAAATTTTTATTTCAGTTTAATTTTTTAGTGCTTCAACTCAAACTAAACAAAAATCTTGCTTTTAGCATTTAGTTGAAGTTTATTTTATTTTATTTCAGTCAAAACTTATTTTAAAACATTAAAAATGGGAAATGTTAACTCATTTTTTTATTTTCACCTCTACAGAATTAACTCATACACTCTGTTGTTTCAAACCAGGCCCTGACTGCTGAGATCGTCAAGACTATCCGTGACATTATTGCTCTGAATCCACTGTACAGGTAATATAGATAAAGAAGGTGTTTAAAACTGCAAGCTAAGGCACTATTAGTGAACATGTTTGTCTGTCTGTTTGTTTGGTAGAGAGTCTGTGCTCCAGATGATGCAGGCGGGTCAGAGAGTGGTGGATAATCCCATTTACCTGAGCGACATGGGGGCGGCACTGACCGGCGCAGAATCACACGAGCTACAGGACGTCCTGGAGGAAACAAACGTACGTTTATGACCTCCAAACGGGTTTTTCTGAACGTTTATGAGTATCTAACATGGAAACTGTGTTTGCAGATTCCCAAGCGACTGTATAAGGCCCTTTCTCTGCTGAAGAAAGAATACGAGCTGAGTAAACTACAGCAGCGTCTCGGCAGGGAGGTGAGGGAACAAATGAGTACAGTTCTTGACATGCTGTTGCTTATTCGTTTGGGTTTCCTTTCATTTAACGCCCGCTCGTCTTGATACTCAGGTTGAAGAGAAGATCAAGCAGACGCACAGGAAGTACCTCCTCCAGGAGCAGCTGAAGATCATTAAGAAGGAGCTCGGCCTAGAGAAAGAGGACAAAGACGCCATTGAGGAGAAGTTCAGGGAGAGGCTGAAGGATCGGACCGTACCTCAACACATCATGGATGTAATTAACGAGGAGCTGAACAAACTGGGACTGTTAGATAACCACTCCTCAGAGTTCAAGTAAGAGTTTGTCATTGTTATAAACTAATTAACCTATCTATAATAGATGGGCACATTCCAGGATCTGGCGTTCGCTAGGCCTGGTGTCAATAAAAGCTTTTATTTCAGTAACGAGGATGTTTTCAGTTCTGAAACTTTTGAGGATATTCTTTTAGCACGATGATCTCTTATATATCAAAAGCTCAAGTAAAAGTTGATTTCTCAATTCATGAGCCCTTTAATGTCCATAAAAATGTTAAAGAAGCTGAAAACCCAGCTAAAACCAGCTTAAGATGGTTGTACATGGGTTCTAGCTGGTCATTATCTGATCCAAACTGATCTAAAAGGTTGATCTGTTGGACTACAAGCTTGTGGACCTGGTTTTGACCTGGTAGACCACCTTAGTCCAGCAACAAAGTTGATAAAACCTTGTTAAAATCAGCTTAAGATGGTTGTACATGGATTCTAGCTGGTCATTAGCTGCTCCGAACTGCTCTCGAAGGTTCATCCATTGGACTAACCGCTTGTGGACCTGGTAGACCACCTTAGAACCACATTAAGGTTAATACAACCAGCTTAGGATTGTTGTGCATGGATTCTAGCTGGTCTTTAGCTACTTCAAACTGCTCTAGAAGGTTCATCCATTGGACTAACCGCTTGTGGACCTGGTAGACCACCTTAGAACCACATAAAGGTTAATAAAACCAGCTTAAGATGGTTGTAAATGGATTCTAGCTGGTCTTTAGCTACTTCAAACTGCTCTAGAAGGTTCATCCATTGGACTAACCGCTTGTGGACCTGGTAGACCACCTTAGAACCACATAAAGGTTAATAAAACCAGCTTTAAGATGGTTGTACATGGATTCTAGCTGGTCATTAGTTGCTCCAAGCTACTCTAGATGGTTTATCAGTTGGACTACAAGCTGGTAGATCTGGTTTCAACTTGATAGACCACCTTAGACCAGCAACAAGGTTGACAAAACCCAGGTAAAACCAGGTTAAGATGGGTTGTACATGGATTCTAGCTGGTCTTAAGCTGCACTAGATGGCTGATCAGTTAGACTACAAGCTGGTTGACCTAGTTTTGACCTGATAGACCAGCAACAAACCAGCCGCCATGTTCCACAAACTTGACCTCTTTAAGGTGGTATTTTATTAGATCAAACTTTGATTCTTCTTTTTTCCCTCTCAAAATCCCCAGCGTTACCCGTAACTACTTAGACTGGCTGACCTCCATGCCATGGGGCACCAACAGCGAGGAAAACCTGGAGTTGGCTCAAGCCAGAGAGGTGTTGGAAGAGGACCACTATGGAATGGAGGACGTCAAGAAACGCATTCTGGTAAAACACAAGCATGAGCGCCTCAACCTTTATCCCCTGAGAATGGGAAAAATGTGCTTGCTTAATCCTCTTAACCCCAGTCATTGTTCATTCATGCAGGAGTTCATAGCCGTAAGCCAGCTAAGAGGCAGCACACAGGGAAAGATCTTGTGTTTCTATGGGCCTCCTGGAGTTGGAAAGACCAGTATCGCCCGCTCAATAGCCAGAGCCCTTAATCGCGAATACTTCCGCTTTAGCGTGGGAGGCATGACAGATGTGGCGGAAATTAAAGGCCACAGGTATGTGATAATGACCATTATGTACTTATTTTCAAACTTTGAAGTATTCAGTAATGTACATTTTTTGTTTGTACATTGCAGGAGAACATATGTTGGTGCAATGCCAGGAAAAATCATCCAATGCCTAAAGAAAACTAAGACTGAAAACCCATTGGTCCTTATTGACGAGGTACGACATACAAATCGAATCTTAACCCTACCCTATACTAAAATTTTGGTTCTTAATTATGTTGAAACGACTGATACTGTATTAATCTTGTTGTGCAGGTTGACAAAATAGGCCGAGGTTACCAGGGTGACCCATCTTCGGCGCTACTTGAGCTTTTAGATCCAGAACAGAACGCTAACTTTCTTGACCACTACCTGGATGTGCCCGTTGACCTGTCTAAGGTATAAACTAGCAAAAATCCACATTTGTTTGAAGGAGACTCTGGTTTCATTGTATCTTCATTGGTGTTTTCAGGTGCTTTTCATTTGTACAGCCAATGTTCTCGACACCATTCCCGAACCCTTAAGAGACCGAATGGAAATGATCAACATATCAGGTTACGTTGCTCAGGAGAAACTGGCCATTGCGGAGGTACGTTTACTTCGTGATCTCTTTACCTGAAACTCAACAGCATGTTTTTGGGTCAGGTTTAGAGTTTGGATCTGTTATAGTCGGTAAAACTCGAACCGGAAGGTTGCTGGTTCGAGACCGGTAGTTAGTGAGCCGTGAGCCTTGAGCAAGTCAATTAACTCGCTTAAGTTGCTTCAAGGCGATTGTCCATTTAAGTCGCTTCCAAAGTCTCACTGTTTCACTGCATGAATTGAAGTTGGCATCAGAGTTCGACTTGGTCCTTTTTGGCTCTGGGATAGTTGGTAAAGCTCAGAACTGGCAACCGGAAGGTTGCAGGTTCAAAACCGGTAATTAAAAAGCTGTGAGCCACAAATGACTGTGATTTAAACTAGTTTAGAGCCAGATGAAACAGCACTGACAAACAGGAGAAACACTGTGCGCAACGAGACAGTCAGAAGACTTTACATCTACAGATCGCCATCATTTACCATTAATTTACTGTGGTAACACTGACTGCACCATGGTATTGTGGCAGAAATGAGGGATATTCATATCGAATTTTATTATGTTATTATTGTAGACATGTATGTATTAAAGGAGTAATGGCATATAATTAATTTCAGCATTTTTTGTGATTTAAGCTATAGCATTTGTGCATTTATACTAAATGTATTGTTCTTACAAATACCTAGAAACCATACTTACACAGTTATATGTTTATCATGGTATTGAGGTGCTGTATGTGTGGTTTTAACTGTGGTTATCATGATCTAAATGTACGCTACTATGGAAGACCAATGGTTAATCTTAATAAAACTCAGTCAGAATAATGACATTTCACCATATAATAATTAGGTTGTAACCATTTTTACAGATACTATAGTTACTGTTTTTGATAATGAACATTAATTTACATCTGCATCATAACTCGAGCTACTGTCAAATGTGCATTTCTAAGAGACAAAACAATGTACTATTATTAATATTGCAGCCTGCACTGCAAACTGTGCTGAAGATACACGTCAGGAACACAAACCTGCTTCATGATTTGACACAATATCACTCATTAGAACATAAAGAAATTAACAAATTAATTTTTCTATATTGATTTCTTATTTTTGTTAAGGAAGAATGACTGGAAAAGTCTAAAGAATTGAAAAGTGTGAAGAGTTTGTCACATTCTGAGTCGTTTCAAACCACATTTAATGGTCTGCTTTCTACAACTTTCACTTAGGAGCAAAAATCTGCCTTTAAACTTGAAAGAAAGAAAGATTTGAAATTTATCGCGATATTTATATGAAAAAGTTTATCGTGATAATTTTTTTGGCCATATCGCCCAGCTCTACTTAAACCCCAAGTTGCTTCAGGGTGATTGTCCCTCTAACTGGAAGTCGCTTCCGATAGTCAGTTTTACTGGATGCAATGCTGTTGGTACAAGAGTTCGACTTTACTTAGTCCTTTATAACCACCACAGAGATACTTGGTACCCCAATTGCGAACTCTATGCGGTTTGGATAAGGAGAAGGCGAAAATCACCCCCGATGCTCTGAGTGTCCTCATCAGACAGTACTGCCGGGAGAGCGGCGTCAGGAACCTTCAGAAGCAAGTCGAGAAGGTACAACTAACTTCTTACTCGTCTTTATGAGTGTTCTGCAAGTGTAGCTAAGTTTGGTACCTTTGCAGGTGTTCCGGAAAGTAGCGTTCCGGATTGTCAACGGCAAGGAAACGGAGGTCAACGTCACTCCGGAGAACCTTCAGGATTACGTCGGGAAGCCCATCTTCACTGTGGACCGAATGTATGACGTCACACCGCCGGGAGTTGTCATGGGACTGGCATGGACGGCAATGGGTAAGGGTTCAACCAAGAGCATTCAAGCCAAAAATTGGTACACTAGTTTCCGGTGAACTTTCGTAACGCTTAGTGGCACCAGAATTGGTGGGAACACTCCTAAAGATGTTAAGTCCACAAAACCTCAAAGAAACGACTCTACTCTCCTCCACAGGTGGTTCAACGCTCTTCATCGAGACATCTCTGAGGCGACCGAGAGAACCGCAAGGGAAAGATGGTCCCAAAGAGGGATCGCTGGAGCTCACGGGGCAGCTAGGAGACGTGATGAAAGAAAGCGCCAAGATTGCGTTCACATTTGCCCGCTCGTTCCTCATGAAGGAACAACCTGACAACGATTTACTTGTGGGCTCCCACATACACCTCCATGTGCCTGAGGTGAAGATTGCAGTTGTCCAGAGTTGTCCAGTCCTGCTCATGGAGGGCCACCTTCTTGCAGAGTTTGGCTCAAACACACCTACCTAGAAGTTTCTACTAATCCTGAAGTCTTTAATAGCCTTGTTCATGTGTGTTTGAAGAAGGTGGGCCTCAAGGAGCACGATTGGACAACAACGATTGGAATAGAGAGTTCAAATAGGTGTTAAACAGCCATGTCTGAGATGAAGATTACACTTGTCCAGAGTTATCCAACTCTGCTCCTGGAGGGCCACTTTTCGGCAGAGTTTGGCTCCTAGTATACCTGGCAGACGCTTCTAGTATTCCTGAAGACTTGTTCAGGTGTGTTGAATTAGGAAAGTGGCCCTCCAGGAGTGCGGTTGGACAACCCTGCAGTATGAGGTTAAAGTAGATGTTAAAGGGATAGTTCACCCAAAAACGAAAATTACCCCATGATTTACTCACCCTCAAGCCATCCTAGGTGTATATGACTTTCTTCTTTCAATCGGAGTTATATTAAAAAGTGTCCTGGCTCTTCCGAGTGATATAATGGCAGTGAATGGGTGTTGAGATTTTGAAGCCCAAAAAAACTGCATCCATCCATCATAAAATGTGCCTCACATTGCTCCGGGGGGTTGATAAAGGCCTTCTGAAGTGAATCATTTGTGTAAGAAAAATATCCATATTTTAAACTTTATAAACCATAATCTCTAGTTTCTGCTAACCTGTCGTATAGGGTTATAACGATATTCAAACCAATCCGAAAAAAACCGCGATACACCACCCACGGTTCGTACTTTATTGGCCGGATTGCTTTGAATATCGTTACAACTCTATACGACAGAAGCTAGAGATTACGGTTTATAAAGTTATAAATATGGATATTTTTCTTACACAAATGCATCACTTCAGGAGGCCGTTATTCATGATCCGGAGCCGTGTGAGGCACTTTTTATGATGGATGGATGCACTTTTTTGGGCTTCAAAATCTCAACACCCATTCACTGCCATTATAAAGCTTGGAAGAGCCAGGACACTTTTTAATATAACTCTTGATTGTATTCGTCTGAAAGAATAAAATCATATACATCTAGGATGGCTTGACGGTGAGCAAATCATGGGGTAATTTTCATTTTTGGGTGAACTATCTCCTGCTCCTGAGAGTTTGGCAGAGTTTGGCTTCTACCTGCCTGGAAGTTTCTAGTAATCCTGAAGACGTTAATTGGCTTGTTCAGGTGTGTTAAAGGAAGGTGTCCCTCCAGGAGTGCAAGGTCGAAGCTTCAAGTAGGTGTTAAAAAGCAGTTTGTTTCTTGTAATAACTAAAGCTGGGAATCTGTTCAGGGTGCAACTCCCAAAGACGGGCCGAGTGCCGGATGCACTATTGTGACTGCTTTGCTGTCCTTGGCCACCAACACACCAGTGCGTCAGAACGTGGCCATGACGGGAGAAGTGTCCCTGACCGGGAAGATCCTGCCTGTTGGAGGAATCAAGGAAAAGACCATTGCTGTAAGCTAGCAGAGACGAAGACCACACTGTGTTTCCAAACAAACATTTTACTGCAGGTTTATACAATATTATTGTTTCAATATAATTTTGCCCCACAAAGTTTCAACTAGTTAGTATCTATTGAGTTTTTCTTTAAATCGATATGAATTAAATGTATATTTGTACAGTAAATAGTCTTAAGAATGTATGTGAATGACACAGTAATGCACAAAACACAAAAGCAGTGTTAAGTCGCTGGGGTATATTTGTAGCAATAGCCAAAAATACATTGTATGGGTCAAAATTATAAATTTTTCTTTTATGCCAAAAATCATTAGGATATTAAGTAAAGATCATGTTCCATGAAGATATTTAGTAAATTTCCTACCGTAAATATATCAAAACTTAATTTTTGATTAGTAATATGCATTGCTAAGAACTTAATTTGAACAACTTTAAAGATGATTTTCTCAATATTTAGATTTTTTTGCACCCTCAGATTCCAGATTTTCAAATTGTTGCATCTCAGCCAAATATTGTCCTATCATAACAAACCATACATCAATGGAAAGATTATTTATTCAGCTTTCAGATGATGTATGAATCTCAATTAAAAAAAAATTGACCCTTATTACTGGTTTTGTGCTCCAGGGTCACATATGCATGTTTCATATATATGCTAATATGTTTTAATTCTTCCGGTAGGCGAAGAGGTCTGGCGTAACCTGCATCATCATGCCTGCAGAAAACAGAAAGGACTTTTCAGACCTGGCAGAGTACATCACCGAAGGGCTGGAAGTGCATTTCGTGGAAAACTACAGCGAGATCTACAAAATCGTGTTCTCTGGACAATAATGCGGAGTGCGGTTTTATCTTTTGGTACGCTGCGATTCTGAATCCTCCGTCAGGAAATCACGAGCACACAGAACCAGGCTAATCAATCCTTTCTGTCGTTGGGAGCTTTTATCCCACATAAGTAGCACGTAAATGCTGCGCCATTCCCTCTTGATTTGTGGGACGTGAAAGTCCGAGCGATGTCGTCAAGATTCCTGAAACGTTTGAGACTCTGGGATCCTGAAAGCCTCTAGTGAAGATTTTATATTGGATGCAATTTCATCTTGAGTGTCATAGTTGTAAACAACTGCCTTAATTGTACTCTCTCAAATAATTTACATTATATATATATTATGGAACAGCTTGTGTGGATGTTCTCTCAGTAGAAAGCTACTTCATGGCTGTTTTTTTATCATTTTTTATGCTTTCTTTCATCGAGGCGTGGTTTAAGGGATTATCCCAGAGACATCCATGTGTCGGGATACGCTTAAACATGTAAAACATATCAGAGCTGGGTAGATTTACTTACAAATTGTAATCCATTACTGATTCCAAATTGCATGACAAAAAACGTAGTCAGTCACGTAATCCCTTACATTACACATTTTAGGTAATATAATCAGACTGCTTTTTGATTACTTTTATTATAGTTATCAAATCAGATATACGTTTCAAACATCAACTATAAGACAATAGTGCAAACATTTAATCTGAATTCAGTTTATTACTATTACTTAAGTTAGAAATATAGGTCTATATACACAATTCGACTATAGTGAAGTTCAGATGTATCAATGTCGTTATGCCAAATATGAAATGCACACATTTAACGTAGAATATGAAGTATTTTACATATTCTGCAAAAATCAGGTGACAGCTGATATAAATTCATGCATTTTCAATTTTACCTGTTACCTTATTTCCATGCCTAATTCTGTACATGCAACTATAACTTGTTTTATAACTATTTATATACATTTTCTGCATGCATAAAATAACCAGATCACCAACTACATATTATATATCCCACAATGCACTGCGCTTTACCTGAAACAAGTGCCATCAACTACAATTATCATCTTTGACTCATTTGATTGAAATGCATAAGGTTTCTACACACACAAAACTTCGATATGCGATAATGTTGAAAACAACCATTTCAAACATTACTTAATTCCAGTTTCATCAGTATTTGAAGGTTTGTTTAAACACTTCATGATCCATGGCTTTGACCGCAGCATTTTTGCAAGTATGAGTAACTCCAGTCCACCAGTGACTGACGCATTTCAGTGAAGCACAGGAGACAAAAGCTTGTTTTTACACATACAAATTTATTCGTCATAATACAGGCTACTCCTTCTTGGCAGCAGCTTTCCTCATCGCGGCCAGAATGTTGCTGAGCTCTTCCCTCTTTCTCTTGGCGCGCATGTGAGTTCCCACCTGCACGCGCACACACACACACACACACACACTACTATGAAGGTAGAATGACGTCAAAAAGATTTGCATACGCAGGGTAAGAGTTGTGGAAGTGTACATAAGACTGTAAGCGTAAATTAAATTTGCATGCGCAAGAGAAGCTTTGTAAAGGTGCAAATCGCGTTTCAAGCGCAAGAAAAAAATATTTGCAGCATTTTACTGTTACTCGTAAGTGTAATTCATGTATTGTGAAACTGCAGCTTCATGCTAACGCAAAATAAATATGATCTGCATGCTTCTGACTTCCATTTTTCCGCGCTTACACTTTTGGCACGTTTTTTTCGCCAAAAGACGGTCAAAAGCACTGCAAGCCTGTGAACAGTGAGTTCAAGCGAAAACAACAGTTTAAAGAACTGCAAAACGGATTGACTGCATAGAACCAGTCTACAGGCTTGCAGTGCTTTTGACCGTCTTTTGGCGAAAAAAACGTGCCAAAAGTGTAAGCGCGGAAAAATGGAAGTCAGAAGCATGCAGATCATATTTATTTTGCGTTAGCATGAAGCTGCAGTTTCACAATACATGAATTACACTTACGAGTAACAGTAAAATGCTGCAAATATTTTTTTCTTGCGCTTGAAACACGATTTACACCTTTACAAAGCTTCTCTTGCGCATGCAAATTTAATTTACGCTTACAGTCTTATCTACACTTCCACAACTCTTACCCTGCGTATGCAAATCTTTTTGACGTCATTCTACCTTCATACATTACACAATGAAAAAACAACAACCAGATCATGAGGATATTGTGCTGGTGCTACAACAGCAGCTTGATGTGTTAAATATAAATAAGTGGCTGCATCATGTAATCATAAGGTCAGATGCTGGATCATTCTAGTTATCCAAACTGGTTAATTGGAATAAAACTTCTACAACTGAAAATAAATAAATATATGTATATGTATGTATATATGTGTATGTATATATGTGTATGTATGTATATATATATATATATACACATACATATATATACATACATGCGCGCACACACACACACACACACACACACACACACACAAAAACTTCATTTCAGCTAAAACATCTTTTACATTTAGTTTAACTTACTAAAATAACAAAAACTGAAATAAAAAAAAATGAATAAACTATACGAACGCATTAAAAAACCCAATAAAAACTACACAAAATTACTAAAACTTAAAAATAAAATCTAATTCAAACTATAACAGCATCTCAAATCTAAAATAACACAACCTTTAGTATCTGAGAAGAACAAAATCTGAACTAAAGATTTCAGTTATTAAAAAAATTATATTTCTTAACTTATTTCTTATTTCTCGTTCCAACAATACCATCTTTTTTTTTCAGATTTTGTACAAATTGTTTAAAACATTTTAAAGTTGTTTCAAATGTTTTTATTCCAAGCATGATGTGCCTAACCAACTAACCAATATATAACAAAAAATTAAGAAGTCAATTTTTTGTGATCCTGCACAATTTGTGATATGACTAAAGCGTTCTGACTTTGCTTACACAAGGTATGATGGGAAGAAATTAGCTTTTTTTTTTTTTTAGGGACATTTCTTCCCACTTTATTACACTTGTGGTGTAACAAAATTGCTTATAAATGTCTTGTGCTATATTACTGGATTCAATCTTTTTGTTTGTGTTCTTCCAGTTAGGATGGGTTTTGTAGTTCTTTTTGGAGCTGCCTGAACGCAGGCCTCATTGATGAGCTCATGAGTGGGGGAAAAAAAAAAAGAAGCTTTATTTATGGATCATTTAGGAAGTACTCCCTCAAAAACTGAGGAGCATAAGCTCAGATCATTGAGGCTTATGATCAATCAGATCCTAAAAGAAACACAAAACCTGTGCTAATTGGAAGAAAACCAGTTGACCAAGTGATTTCTCAGAGGCGGGTCATCTTTGACTGGGAACACCAATGAGATAAACTTGAAAAATTCAACACATACCCTTTTCTTGATGAACTTGAGGGCACGTTTGTCCTTGGACACCTTCAGCAGCTCCATAGCGCGCCTCTCGTAGGGCGCGAAACCGCACACCTCGCGGATCATGTCGCGCACGAACTTGGTGTGTTTGGTCAGATGCTGAAACACAAGAACAAGGTCACGTTAAACGCGATTATACTGGTATAATATGGGCATATGGCAGTGCATGATGGGAGAAATCCCACGGTTTCTGCAGGTTTTATGACGGCAAACTTAAGACATAAGAGCAAACGGAAAGGAACACAATGTGTCAATATGCTCTTGTATTAGCAGGACTAGTTCACTTCCAGAATAAAAACGTCCTGGTAATTTACTCTCATCCATGTCATCCGAGATGTTCACGTCTTCAGTCACAAAGAAATGAAGGTTTTTGAGGAAAACATTCCAGGATTTTTCTCCGTATAATGGACTTCAATGGGGATCATTGGGTTGAAGGACCAAAGTGCATTTTTAATGCAGCTTCAAAGAGCTCTACAGGA